AGAAGTGTATATATATATATATATATATATATATATATATATATATACACTAACTACTGTTTCTATGGCTGCAGGCTGGAGGCTAAGCTAACTGGACGAGCAACCATTTCAAAACAAAATAAACTGGGTGCGAACTCAAATGGTTCCCTAAAAGCTAGGTGGAACAACAGAAAATGTGTGTTTTAGTGTGCTTATGCGCAACAATAACTCGAAAATGTCCCAGTACAGGGAAATTTAATACATTTTAGCGAGCCACAAACACCAAACAGCAACACGTAGCGCAACACTGAAAACAGGACATGATGCAAAAACGCAGCCGCAGGAAGGAGACACTCCTATATATATATATATATATATATATATATATATATATATATATATATATATATATATATATATATATATATATATATATATATATATATATATATATATATATATATATATATATACAGTTGTGGTCAGAGGTTTACATACACTTGTAAAAAATATAATATAATGGCTCTACTGAGTGTCCCGTTATTTCTAAAACTCTGATTTTTCTCTGATAGAGTGATTGGAACAGATACTTCTTTGTCACAAAAAACATTCATGAAGTTTGGTTCTTTAATGTCTTTTTTATGGGTTAACAGAGAAAAGTGATCACATTTGCTGGGATAAACTTTATTGTATTTATCTTAGTGAATCTATAACTACACGGGTAAACTAGTAGTAGCACATTCAATGTCAAGGAAAGTAAAATGTTATCAGGAGAGGGAGAATGTTTAAGTGGTTAGCAGCAGTGTGCTAGACCTCCATGAGGCCACCACAGCTCAGCAGAACATCGTTGTAGCTTCTTCTGGGGAGAAAAACACTTAGAAAAAAAAATAATGTTAACAGCTGAAATAGCAGGAAATAATACAGTTAAAGAGCAGATTGTAGAAGAAAGCAGTAAAGTGTGGAAAGTGGTCAGTGTGTCCTCCAGCAGTCTAAGCCTATAGCAGCATAACTACAGAGATAACTCTGGATAACCTATCCTATTTAGATGGAGGCATGTTGGAGTCAGGGCAAGGGAGAGCCGTCTTTACCGACTGTACACTCCACCTCCCTCTACTCCCCCACTTGTCCAGATCTGGGCTAACATCAGATTTTAAACATAGGCCCAATCAAATAAAACTGTTGTAAGCCTATTCTTAAAAGTAGACAAGGTGTCTGCCTCACGGGCTAAAGCTGGGCGCTGGTTCCACAGGTGAGGAGCCTGATAACTAAAAGATCTGCCTCCCATCCTATTTTTAGATATTGTGGGAACCACCAGTAAACCTGCTACTTTAACAATACTTCATGAGAAAAGTTTTACCTCCCATTTCCCAAAGTTTGATAGATTCAGTTTCCGTTACATTCAATAAAAAGAATGAACCTTATTCTGACTATTTATTTTATAGGTAAAGATTGAGGCAGTTCAGAAGATCGGATAGGGGTCAGAGGTCAATGCCTTAGAGGCTAACCTTTGTCTGTCTTAGCCTGGTAGGATAAGAGCTTATTGTTTACTTTTGTCAGTGAAAATCCCTATTGCTGCAGAAAAACATCCTTGATTCTAAATAGATACTTAAAATAAAAGTAAAATTATCTTTCTTTAACTCTGAACTAAAATCATTTTGCTTTTGTGGGATTGGGTCATACTGGGAAGGTGAAGAAGAAGTGCTATAAAAGTTCTAAAGATGACTAGACTCGAAACATCTAAAACAGATAGAAGGAAAAACAGTATTCTGCTAATTCTTCAAGGCAAGGTTTTGGCTTTGAGAATCTTAGTGATTATCAGAGTAACTTATTATATTTACACACTGATAAGAATCATATCGCCTTTTCACAGAGCAAAGTCTGTGCGGCATTCTTCCCTTTCACCTCATCTCAGGTAGATGTTGAATCATCAGGTGTAGCTGCACAGCTGTTCTGCCTTCTCATCCTATTTCATGTTTTTTAGAGATTAATTCAGACTTTCCCCATTCTGAAGTGCAGATTTTTGAGTGTGCTGAATGACAGGGTTTTTAAAGAGCTGACCATGGGTGGAGGGGAGGGAATATTATGTCATAGATCTGAAAGGGGTGTTGATTCTCATCAGGTGCGGATGAAAAGGGTGGGCAGAGGGGGCTGGTGGAGACGTGTCGAGGCTCTGTCTGGGGAAAAGAGACATGTGGAGCGAGGGGGGGAGGGTGCTGGATGCTATGCTGGGAAGGAGACTTCCTTACATCATAAATCCATACTTGATATAAAGCTCTAGGGTTATAAATTCTCATGTGACATAAAGATCATACCCTAAATAAAACAAAAGGTTAATTAAACAAACGTTGTAATATAACAAACATCGAAAGTATAATAAAACAAACACCAAAAAATGTATTAATCATATCTTGATACATGGTGGTGGTCATTAAAGGTTATTAAAGGGATCAAAGAGTCATAAAAGGTCTTAAACCAATAAAACTGTGACGAAAGGTAATGTATTATACTCTTTAGAGAGTATCAGAGATGAGCAACCACTGAGCCAAACTACTGATCTCTGTGTCCCTCGAGTTACACACACAGCTACAGCTTTTAAGCAACTATGATCAGACATGATGGGGATCAGCTTATTCAAGCTGGCTGCAGGCTGGAGCTGAGGAGCAGGCCATGGTCCTGAACAGCTCCATCTCTTTGAGAAATCACGGCGCTACCTCAAGGGCCATGACACACTCCCCCTTAAAGTCGGTGTAATGGACATTGAAACAAGCAATGCCCAGCTAGCTAGCTTACACAGACACGTCCCAGAATGCACACCCCTCCCGTTGGGTATAATCCTTAGGCTGCACCTAAATGCACGCACACACGCACTCACTCACTCACACACACACACACACACACACACATACACACACACACACACACACACACACACACACACACACACACACACACGCGCACACACACACACACACACACACACACACACACACACACACACACACACGCACGCATACATACACACATACATACATACATACATACATACATACATACATACATACATACATACAAACATACATGCATACATACATACATGCATACATACATACATACATACATACATACATACATACATACATACATACATACATACATACATACATACATACATACACACACACATACATACATACATACATACATACATACATACATACATACATACATACATGCATGCATACATACATACATACATACATACATACATACATACATACATACATACATACATACATACATACATACAAACATACATGCATACATACACATACATATATGCATACATACATACACACATACATACATATATGCATACATGTACGCACGCACACACACACACACACATACATACATACATACATACATACATACATACAAACATACATGCATGCATACGTACGTACGTACGTACATACATACATACTTAAATACATACATACATACATACATACATGCATACGTACGTACGTACGTACATACACGTACATACATACTTAGATACATACATACATACATACATACATACATACATACATACATACATACATACATACATACATACATGCATGCATACGTACGTACGTACGTACATACATACATACTTAAATACATACATACATACATACATACATGCATACGTACGTACGTACGTACATACACGTACATACATACTTAGATACATACATACATACATACATACATACATACATACATACATACATACATACATGCATACGTACGTACGTACGTACATACACGTACATACATACTTAGATACATACATACATACATACATACATACATACATACATACATACATACATACACATACATATATGCATACATACATACACACATACATACATATATGCATACATGTACGCACGCACACACACACACACACATACATATATACATACATACATATATGCATACATGCACGCACGCACGCGCACGCACACACACACACACATACTTACATATACATTGGCTTTATGTTTATCTGCTCCATCTGTATTCCTTTTAATGGTAAATACCCATTTTCCCCCCACTGTCTTTCTGCCTTCTGGCTAAGTTGTTAGAGTGAATGTGTTGTTCTCTCTCAGGGAGGCTAGTTCTTCCTCCATGGCTCCCTTCCATTCTCTTGAGTCAGGTGAATTTATTGCATCTTCATAAGTTAAAGGTACATTAGTAAAAAGTCTGTAGCAGTAGTCCATGTTAGTTAAAACTTGGTCATCATCATCCTCAGTTACATAACCTTTTGTTACATAATCTGTCAAGTAACGCGATGATGTTTGCTCTGCTTCATTTGGAGGTTTTGTCTGACTTGTTCCTTCCCCTGGGTCTTCCTCTTTCTGCCCGGGTGTTTTGTGTTTAACCTCCTTTCTTGTTCTAACTCTGGCTCATCATCTGACACTATTTCTGTTTGTGTCTTTTCTTCTGGTTCTCTTGTTACGAACTTAACTAATCTATGTTTTAAAACCTTACCACTCTCAGGGAAATAGACCAAATATGCTGGACTGGTTTTGTCATGACCCACAAAAATCCCTTTTTCACTTCTAGAATCGAGTTTCCTTCTGTTCTGTTTGTACACATTACAGGGTACACCAAATTTGTGCATTTTTGATAAGTTAGGTCTTTTACCGCATGACATTTCATATGGTGTTGCTTTCAAACGTCTGTTACAACATCTGTTCCTTGTAATGGTGGCTGTATGTATGTGTGTGTGTGTGTGTGTGTGTGTGTGTGTGTGTGTGTGTGTGTGTGTGTGTGTGTGTGTGTGTGTTAGCATAATTGGTTATAATTAAAAACAGTCACATCACTAATCTGCGGTCAACACCTTGTGGTTTATTTTTGATGGGTTTGGGGTCAGAGGTTTCATGAATGACATACTACCGTGTTTAGCCACATGGTGGCGTCACTGAGCCACGCAGGGACACAAACAAAACGTCTGACGTAACTAATTTACGTCTGCTTCGGTTCCACCAGTCCAGCAGCGTCGGTGGCACGCGCGTTGTTATGATTGACAGGAGTCATGCTGAACTTTCGTTTTGCTTCTTACCGTTTAAAGATTAGGACACCATGTCTGAAATTCTGCTGAAAGAGATGGAGACCGTGTCTATCGGTTCGGGGAAGTCGGAGGATCGGAGGCACGGCGCTCGGAGCTTCCTTCTGGTGGATGAACAAGAAAACCTGCAGGTAAAGTCATTTCGCTTAGCTAGCTAGTAGCTGCTAACAGCTAACTGCCTGGCTCAGAGGAAAACAGAAGTCTACCTAAAAGGCCTCAAATGGAGAGCAGCAGCTAATAAAGAAGGGCGGAGCTTAAGGTAGCCTTTAGTACAACACAATCAGTGTTGTTTTATGTGACTAATCAAAGAAATGTGTTTGTTTGGATTACTGCTTCATACAGTTTCCGGTAAATAGTTTGATTATTTCATAAAAAAGGCTCACAGGACGAGTGACGTCAACTGTTATGGTAGAGTACTAGCTGGGTTGTTATCAGGGAGCTTAACACACACACACACACACACACACACACACACACACACACACACACACACACACACACACAGCGTTGCTGGTACTGAACGATGAGCAAAGTGATAATAAAGTAGAATTATTTTTCATTTGTTGTGTGTTATTGCATATATATGTTGATGGTTATCGCAGATGTCTAGATTCTATTTGAGGAAACCAGGTTGTGTTTTGGTCTGTGTCTACAGAGACCAGATCACACAGACTCAGGTCTGATCAGAAGCCAACATTTTCATTTTTTTAAATGTATTAATTCAAATATTTCAGCTGTAGAGTCACAGATCTTTGCTTATCCTCCTGCAGGTCCATGATGAAGCTGACTTTGTAGAAAAGCTTGGCTGTGTGGATGTTGCGGGGGTTAAAGTCCTCTCCATCTTTGGCAACACTGGAGATGGCAAGTCCCACACGCTGAACCACATCCTGTTTGGTGGTGCCAGTGTGTTTTACACCTCCAAGTCCCCCAGCTCCTGCACAGTGGGAGTGTGGGCTGCGTACAATCCCTCCCTCAGTCTGATCGCTCTGGACACAGAAGGTCTGCTGGGAGCAGCAGCCAAACAGAACCAGAGAATGCGTCTGCTGTTGAAGGTAAAAACAGTAATGCCAGGTTGGTTTTGTGTGCTTAAATCAGTGACTTTCTTTGTTTCTGTCTGTTTTAGTGCTGCCTGTTTATTTTAGACACGTTTATTCTGCAGATCTGACACCTTCAGCAGGGCATACAGGAGCCCGACACATCCGAACCTCTAGACCACATGTGTCAAACTCTGGCCCTCGGGCCAAATTTACCCCATTGTTATTCCGTTTGAAAACTTCTTTCTCAGGACAAATTTAAAAAGTAATGTTTGTTGTTTTATATGGTTAAATCGGATTTTTTTTTTCCCCCACCGATTTCGATTTCCTGAAAAATCACGTGGTCGGACCTGATTTCCGATCACACAATCGGATTAGAACATCCTTAACACCACTGACGTGTTTCATTTAAGATTGTGCTGCTCATTGTAAATGGTAAATGGCCTGTACTTGATATAGCACCTTCTAGAGTCCTGGAACCCCCCAAGGCGCTTCACAACACAATCAATCATTCACCCATTCACACACACATTCACACACTGGTGGGGATGAGCTACGATGTAGCCACAGCTGCGCTGGGGCGCACTGACAGAGGCTATCTGTAATTTGGTCATGCCAGAGTCAGTGGTAATGCAAAAATACATTTGTTTCCAAATGAAATGGGTCAACAACACATCTGTTGATGAAGGAAAATGTGCATATTTGCCATAACTTTAAAAAACAGCAACTTTGTCCCAGTTTTTCATTTAGATCCAGTTTGAGTTTGACAACCCTGCTCTAGATTTTTAAAGAGCAAGTCGCACTCTACCTGAGTCTTACTCCACTCCCATTTCCTGTTTGAAAATGCCCCACAAGGAGGCATTGCCTGGTAGACTGAGAGGATGGAGCCGCTAACAAATACACACACAGGCTTACAGCAACATTGTGACATCATATGGTACCAGCCATCATCATAGGGTACCTCTTAGCCAATAGTGATGGCAGATTAAAATTCTAATGTAGTGCAGAGTTTTTACCTGGAGAGGGCGCAACACTGACAGTTTTAGGCAGAACATTTAAATTTCAACCCTCTGGAGTGAATCCACGTGCCGGTGCGTGATGGACTGTTCACATATCTCCTTATATTATTCAACCAGGGAACCACTTAGCGTCAGGGTTCCATTTTCAGCAAAGGGGGGCTTGAAACTAAAGCCGGGCGGACACTGTGCGACTTTTTAACTCGCAGCGTTCAGCTTCAGCTCAAACTGTACGACTTCCTCGCAGGGCAGATCTCACGAGTCCTGTGCTCACACTGTACGACCCAGTTCTCGCATGCGACCTGACTGCTCACACTGTACGTCTGGTAGCAACTCATCAGCCCTAAAAATGTGCTAAAAATAGCAGTTTTTACTCAACACGTCAGACTTTTTTGTCTTCTTTTGCCTGTTGTCCTTCGGGAGTGCTGCAGGAGGACACACAGGGATTTATGGGGGTTGGACGAGGAAAACGAAATAAAGAAAGTAAATCTGTGTTTTGTGATCAGTTTAATTTGACATGAACACGACAAACACGCTTTCTTGACAATCTGTGAGTAAAGAAACGTGTAGAAATTAAAACGAACAGCGTGTGTTATTTGGGAAATAGCGGGAAGCGGCGATGATGCAGGATTGCGGATGCGCCGTGAGCGGTTCTGATACATTTTGGGTCGCAGCTGCTCGCAGCGCCGCTTCAACAGTGCGATACCCTCACGAGGGACGAGCGAAATATTAAACACGCCAGAAGTCCGTGTGAGCTCACGATTGCTGATTGGCAGCTGGTCACGTGGTGTTAATCGCCTCTCGTAACCCCCGTACACTACACGACCGCTCGGCGCAAAACTCGCCCCGATGTCGTGGATTCTCGCACGAGTGGAAAATCGGCTCAAAAAAGTGAAAAAGTCGCACAGTGTACGCCCGGCTTAAGTATCAGTTAACAAGTTTATCCAAGTAAAAGTAAGATATTTAAGGTAAATATGTCATGCCAAGATGAAGCCGCTTTTGCACATTTGATCTTTGGCAGATGCAGAGGAAAATCCTACCAACAGAGCACTCTGTTGGCTCCGTCAGCTCTCGCTGCTACACACCGTAAGCTAGGACTCAGAGTCAGGAAGAAAAACAAGACCAAGCTCATCCTATAGGCTGAGATACAAACTCCGTCACCCAATCACAAAATTGTGCATAAATAGATGCTAAGTGCAGGCAGGGAAAGCTTTCTGTGCTCCTTATGTTTATGTTTATTTATTTGGCAGACGCGTTTATCCAAAGCGACTTACAGTTTATAACCTATAGGGCATGTTGTGATCTGTGGGGGAAACCGGAGTACCCGTAGGAATCCCACGCATGCACGGGGAGAACACGCAACTCCACGCAGATAGGCCACAGCCGAGTTTCGAACCTGCAACCTTCTTGCTGCGAGGCAACAGTGCTAACAACTGCGCCACCATGCAGTCCCATGCTCCTATATAAGGCTCGGCACACATAAACTGCCTTTTGGTCATGACACCTTCTTTGTAAACATGTGTATAATCTAAATGTAAACATACACTGAACAAAAATATAAACACAGCACTTGTTTTGCTCCCATTTTTCATGAGCTGTAATTTGCCTACATGTGTGTTAGTGAGCACTAGGGTTGTCACGGTAACCGGTGTAGCGGTAAACCCCAGTAAAAAAAAGTTGACAATAATAATAACCGTCTTGTTTTTAAAAAACTATATTATCTCGGTGGATTACCGTGGCTGCGGTGTAGGCGCGGTGACCCTTACCAGCCACCGTATCATCTGCTGAAGTTGCCGGCAGCACATGCACACTTTGTTGTTTACAACCAAAACTTTCTTGAAGCTAAAGCTGAAATAATGACCAAAGGAGGAGACGGCAGCGCTCAGGAGGACATTTATTATCCCTCAAAGAAGACAAAGTGGGAAGTACGGTCATCTTTTGGATATTTGAAGAATGCCGAGGGACAGTTGATAGAAGACGGCTATCCTGTTTGCAGCACGTGCAGAAAAAGTGTCTGTGAAAGGCAGCAACGCTTCAAATCTCATGACACATCTGCGTGACCATCACCCACAACTCTACAGTCAACGCAAGGCAAGCTAATGTTAGCGTTTTAGCTGAAATGCGTGATCCGAGGATTTGGGTTGAGGGAGAATGCAAGGAGTCGCTATATGAATCAGACGCAGCACCGCTACCTGAATATACCCCCACCACCACCACCACCACAGCTGGAAAAATTCCTAGGGGAAACACTGGAAGGTCCTGGGCTGGTGGGGTCACATGTGGTCTGTGGTTGTGAAGCTGGTTGGATGTACTGCCAAATTCTCTGAAACGTCTTTGGAGACAGCTTGTGGTAGAGAAATTAACATTAATTTCATAGGCAACAACTCTGGTACATTCCTGCAGTCAGCATGCCAATTGCAGGCTCCCTCAAAGGTTGCAACATCTGTGGCATTGTGCTTTTTGATCAAACTGCACATGTCAGGGTGTCTTTTTATTGTGGCCAGTCTACGGCACACCTCTACATTATTGGCCCCTTGATATGCCACACCTGTGAGGTGGGATGGATTATCTTGGTAAAGGAAAAGTGCTCACTAACACATGAAGACAGATTTCAGAACAATATTTGACAGTCATGGGTCTTTGTGTATGTAGAAAACGTTTCAGATGTTCAGCTCATGAAAAATGGGAGCAAAAACAAGTGTTGCATTTATATTTTTATTCACTGGATGTATGTAATTTTGTGGCTTACTAAACTTCAATTTCAATTCAATTCAAGTTTGTTTATAAAGCGCCAAATCACGACAAGAGTCGTCTCAAGGACCTTCACACAGTAAACTTTCCAGTACAGGTCAGTTCATTAAGCCAATCAGTAAAAAGTTTCCTATATAAGGAACCCAGCAGGTTGCATCGAGTCACTGACTAGTGTCAGAGTCTTTACAGCAATCCTCATACTAAGCAAGCATGCAGCGACTGTGGAGAGGAAAACTCCCTTTTAACAGGAAGAAACCTCCAGAGAATCCTGGCTCAGTATAAGCAGCCATCCTCCACGACTCACACACACACACACACACTCGACATATATACCGAGCAATGTGTCTATCAGGGTATCCGCGGGTCCTTAAAAAGTCTTAAATTTGCTTTTCCAAATTTAAGGCCTTGAAAATCATTAAAAATGACAAATAATCCTTAAATCTAGTTTCCAAAGGTCTTAAATTACCAAAGACCCAATAAGCAAGATTATTTTATTTCTATAAAAATTTTCATGAATTTCTAGTTAGTGTTCAGCATTTTTTGTGTACGATGTTGCCGTAAGCGGAACCGTACACATTCAGCTGGTTGTGAAAGGGGGCTATTTTTAGATGAGCACATTAGCTGGTTAAGCTAGTGGGAGTTTGCGCCATGGGGAAGTGCAAGTTTAATGGTAACTGGATGGCTAATCCCACGTTCACGACGTGGTTAGCACCGGCCCCAGGCAATAGCTGGAAATTATAGCTTGAATTTGATTTAAAAAATAGCTTAAATTTGGTCAAAGTGGCCTTAAAAAGGTCTTAAAAAGTCTTAAATTTGGCTCCCTTAAACCTGCAGATACCCTGGTCTATAGTTATATTGTGATTTCTTAGTAAATATTCTATTTGGTGAGAGTTAAACTTTATTGTATTTATCCTAGTGGATCTATAATTAAACGGGTAAACTAGTAGTAGCACGTCCAACGTCAAAGAAAATAAAATGTTATCAGGAGAGGGAGAATTTTTTTAGTAGATAGCAGCAGTGTGCTAGCTGATAGCCCCCCTCCATGAGGCTCAACCTGATCCTGTCTTCTGCTGGACATTTTTGTGGTGTACCGCCCAACTCCCCAGCTGCCAGAGCTGCATGTTCAGGTTATTTCCCCGTTTCATGTTCCCACACACACAGCGCTGCTAGAGCCGATAGCAATGGCACCGTAGGTGAGCCCGGGACAGAGATGGAGAGAGAGAGAGGGAGAGCGAGAGAATGTAGTTGAGT